GAGAGAGAGAGAGAGAGAGACAGACAGAGACAGAGACAGAGAGAGAGAGAGAGAGAGTCACCCTCCCCTTTACCTCTTACATAGAAAACTGTCAACGTTTGCCAAAATTATAATTATGCTTTGCTGGTTCTCTCTGGTAGTTAGTTTGTATCAGTCTGTGGTGTCACTCGCAATATATTGACGAAGTACGTTTCTCTCTAACGACAGGTCTCGTCTGGCGCTCATTACTGCCAGTATGTCTGATATCGATTTCATTCAAACTACTACTGAGCATGCTTTACTAGATCTAGAAGCTTATAATTTGGATAGGAAACGAAAGTAAGGCATTGTTCTTCGTAATTGAGGAGTGCTCAGCTCACATTTTTACACCAACTTCTTCGTGGCTTGAGAAGGGGTACAGGTCGACTTAGCTCACAGGAAAAGCAGCACTGAAGAACATTGCATAATATATAATCGGTCATTTAGCAGTGGAATCAGGCTTTCGTAAACTTTTGTGCATGTGGAGTTATTGGTATCATAATATTACAACTTTCGATGAAAGAGACATCTATCTGGATTTATTAGTATCATCATAAATCGTGTTTATTTGTCTTGCTTTCGATGGAAAATATATCCATCAATTTTGAATAGAAGTCAAGACATTATCGATTGAAGAAGATGGGGGTCGTCAGGATTCTGAGGTAAAGATCACCATCAGTTCATCAAAGAAGAACTATTACTATTAATCTTCTTCTTCTTCTTTTTCTTCTTCTTCTTCTTCTTCTTCTTCTTTTTCTTCTTCTTCTTCTTCTTCTTCTTCTTCTTCTTCTTCTTCTTCTTCTTCTTTTTCTTCTTAATAGTCGTAATAGTACTAGTAGTGGTAGTTGTTGTAGCAGTAGCAATTGATGCCTTCTTCCCAGAATATTTTCAACCTGGCACGTCTTCTGATGGGCCATTTCCCACCATTGGAATGACCTCCTGTGTTTTGTACGGCAGAGGGATACATAGTAATACGTTCATCTGAAGTAATCTCAGGCTTCACAGCGCTTTAGCTCTTAACTTCTTTTCATAACATTCTGATCACTGTTTGATTGTAGAGCAAAGATAAGGTCTATGTACAGCGTAAGAGAAACACAAACTAAAAAAAGAAGAAAACGTGCCGGAAAATGAAATGTATATCTTATTTCCGGTTGTGTTTACAACTTGTTGAAATAAGAGCCCTCAAGATATTTGATATCGTTTAGATCAGACTTATCTTACGGAACGTTTAATTACATCTGCACATTTTTCCCGCCGATAAGGATTATTAATTTTATGCTAGCGACGATTCAAAAGTAGAATAAGATGATTCTCCTGATAACAAATTGCAGCTTGGCAAGCCAGAGGAGGGCTAAGCTCAGTTCCGTTTAGATTCACAAACGAATTTCGCGGCGATTTCATTTCAGTTAGAATGGTTTGGGTCA